CTCACACCCCGATCGCACCTTCGAGCGGCAGAGTCTCTGGTCTCCTCTGCCGCCGCCTTCCTCTCCTCGCCGGGTCGCGGACTCCGGCCCAAGCTCCCTGGCTTTGCCCGCCCCGGCGCACCCTGTCCCTGCCCGTCCAGGCGTCAGTCCCGCGCTGTCGCCTCCTCCGGATCCAAACTCGGGTGCCCTGTCTGCCCTATCCTGGGCTCCGTACGGCCGCTGGCCTTGCCTCGGACTCCTTCCCCACCCTCGGCCTCTGTCCCGCGGAGTGGAGATCAGGAGGCTGGGTGGAGGGGCGGGGGGCGTTGTTACCGAAGCCGGAGGCAGTGGACCCAGGGGGACCTTGGAACCCGTGGGCCAGAGGGAATGTCAGCTGCAGACAAGGGAGGGAACGTCCGCTGGGGAGTGTGTGTGTGTGTGTGTGTGTGTGTGTGTGCGCGCGCGCGCGCGATAGTAAATGCTCAACTAATGCTAGTGATTATTGTTATTAAAGAAACCAGACACGGTATCTTGATGTCCCGGCCCTGACAGGTTTCTGAGCTGGAATGGAGAGGGAGAGGACAACTAGTTACTACACCCTCTTGGACATCAGATCATTTCCATAATTCTTTTGTTTGCTTGAGTTTTATGGTTAGAAATACAGGCAAGGGTCAGATGGGGTGGGAGGAGGGGTCCCATGAGGTCTGGACCACCCTGGCTGGTGTGTTGGAAGGGAAAGGAGTTCTCAGCACTGCTCAGGGTTAGAATTTTGGGGACATGAGCAAGCAACAGCCTTGGAAATGAGAGGGCAGATGGTCAGTTAGATCTGGGTTAGGGCTGAGAGGAATCATGTGAGTATTAGAGCATCTCTTCCAGGTCGTGAGCCCAGCTAGGTAAAGCTGGCAAAGTACCCTCAAGCCACCATCACCCCAGTCTGGGGAGCAGCACAAATGTTCGGAGAATAAGCTAAAATCGGAGCCCCATGCTGTTAAGTGTTTGGTCTCAGAGAACGGACAGGATTTAGCCTGAAGCTCTCACTAAGGAAACCCTCTTGTGACTCAGTTAAACTAGGTTTCCCAGCTTCCCATCAGAAGTTGCTGTTTGGAGGGAATATGATATCACTCATCCACACTGTAGTGAGAATGTGAGGCAATGTGCTTTTCCTTTCCCCAGATCATTAGCATTTGAAGTCTCATTTGTGTTATAAGATGAAGTGCTTTTTGGCATCCTGATAAAAGAAATTCAAACATCAGGAGAGCAGATAAGGCCAATTTTGATGAGGTCAACCTTTTTGGGGTCTTTGATATCACAGAATCATAGACTTCAGAGTTGGAAGTCCCCCCGAAGGATCTCTGGTGCAGCTTCAGGCAGGTCATGTATTATCAACCCCATTTTTCGGATGGGGCAACTCCCACCCCAGCCACGGTGAGGCAGCAGTTGCTTCTGCTGCTTTTGCATGAGCCTAGATAGAGCCTAATTCTGTCGATGTGGATAACAATGAAATAACTAGCATCGCAGTTTACGAACCACTTTCTCATATAGCCCCTTCTCTCATCTGATCCTCAGAGCCATTCCTGAGGTAGAGGGATGGGTGTAAATAGTTCCCACAAGGAAACTGGAGGTCGGAAAGTTTCAGTCACACAGCAAATTAGTAGGGGAGACTGTATGGAAACCTGGTCCTGCTGCCAGTCTCCAATAGTGTGTGATCCTACAGGGGAGCAGCAGCTGCAGGGGAGCTGGAAAGGGTGAGGGGTGGACGGTAGCCTCCCTGCCTCGCTTGGTTAACACCTTCAGACCCTCTTGGCTGTAGCAGGATAGGTGAGGCCACAGCAGTCTTCTCTGTCTTCAGCAGTGAGACAGGACACACTGAGCCCTGCTGGGCTGTCAGGTGGGCTCTCATAGGGCAGCATGATGACAGTGGGACAGGAGGTGGACCAGAGGTCAGGGTCCAAGTTTGCCCTGGCTCTGGGATACTCTCTGTGTTGTCCTTGGCCAAGTCGCTGTCTCTAGGGTCTTTAGCATCTGGAGGTCCTAAGGTTCCCTAACACTCACAGGCCTGGTCTTGGCTCTGAAAGTTTAGGATTACCCAAGAGCTTATGTTTTGGCTTGGATCACTTGGGGATTCTGTTAATATTAACTTCTGTGGTGTTTTATAAATGAACACACACCACATTATGTGACAAGTTGGGCACATGGCAGGCCTTGTCGCCCAATCCAGTCTTTAAGTCATACCAATGGCTTTCTAACTAGAAATAGTTCCTGTGGATGCAACTTTTTGAGATGATTTTGGTAGTATGTTTAAATGTGTGACCTCTGCACTGGTTAGGTTTCTTTCCTCTCTGAAGACAGTACAGAAAAGTTTATTTATTTATTTATTTATTTTTCCTTTTTGTCTTTTTTTTTTTTTCGTGACCGGCAACGGATCGCAACCCTCAGTGTCGCGCCCGTACTGGACTGGGACCGGCAACGGGATCGCAACCCTCGGTGTTGCACCCGCACCTCGCTCAGCCAGTGAGCAGCCAGTCTGTATGTGGGATCCAAACCCTCGGCGGGAGCGCCGCCGGGCTTCCCAAGCGGCGCACTGTAGCAGTGCGCCACCGGGCCGGCCCAGAAAAGTTTATGAAAGCACAAGATTTTGAGTCCTAGGTTTGAATCCCAGCTTTGCCTGTTGCTAGACATGTCACTTTGGGTAAATGTCTTATCCTTGCTGAGCGTTGGGTGAAGATAATACCCATCTTAAAGGCAGGCATGAGGCTGAATTGAGACAGTGAATGAAAGGGCCTCATAGGGCACCTGGGCTTCCCAAGTGGCACACTGTAGCAGTGCGCCACTGGGCCGGCCCAGAAAAGTTTATGAAAGCACAAGATTTTGAGTCCTAGGTTTGAATCCCAGCTTTGCCTGTTGCTAGACATGTCACTTTGGGTAAATGTCTTATCCTTGCTGAGCGTTGGGTGAAGATAATACCCATCTTAAAGGCAGGCATGAGGCTGAATTGAGACAGTGAATGAAAGGGCCTCATAGGGCACCTGACACATGTTAAGTATTCAGCACAGGCTCGCTCTCAGTGTTTGCTGGGGCTGTAACCATCTTCCCGGGTGATGAAGGTGTCATCATTGTGATTCCATTGAAGAAACAAAACATAATCTTTTTTTTCCCAAAACCATTGTCACATAACATAAAATCCTTGTATTTTAAGTTCACAGTTTGGGTTTTAACAAATGTTAAACTGTGTAGCACATTTGTACTGACCACAATTACTATATGGAACATTTCCACCACCCCAAAGGATCCCTTGTGCCTCTTTACAATCAAACCTCCCCCACCAGCCCTGGGCTACCTCACTTCCTTGCCTTCTGTCACTATTGATTAGTTTTGCCTCTTCTAGAAATTCATATAAATGAAATCATATCGTATATAGCCTAGCCTTCTAGATTATTTTGCTTAACACAAAGTTTTTGAGATTCACCCATGTTGTTGTATACATCAATAGCTCATTCCTTTTTATTGAGTAGTATTCCATACAATTATGGATGTACCACAAATTGTTTATTTATTCCCAAGTTGATGGACATTTGGATTACTTCCAGTTTTAGGCTATTCCAAATTAAGCTGATATAAATATTCATGTACATCTCTTTTTGTGGACATACATTTTTATTTCTCTTGGATAACTATCTAGGAATGGATTGTTGGATCATATGGTAAGTATATGTTTAACTTATAAGAAATGGCCAAACAGTTTTCCAAAATAGTTGTACCATTTTATACAGTAATGTATGAGAGTTCCAGTTGCTCCATATTCTCGCCAGCTGTCATCAGTCTTAATTGTGGCTATTTTAGTGGGTATGTATTGGTATCTCATTGTGGTGTTCATTTATATCTCCCCATCCATGAATGGTGTGTTGAACATTTTGTCATGTGCATTTTGTCGTTTGGATCTTTTTTGTTGGGTTATTTGTCTTATTATCATTGGATTATAAAGGTTCTTTATATGTTTTGGATACAAGTCCTTTGTCAGAAAGTATCGGCAATATTTTATCTCTGTCTGTAGCTTGCCTTTTTATTTTCTTACGGTGTCTTATGAAGAGCAGGTTTTTAATTTTGATAAAGTCCAATGTATCATCTTTTTCTTGCATGGTTTGTGCATTTTTTCTGTCCTATCCAAGAAATCTCTGCTTACTCAAGAGTTGCAAAGATTTTCTCGTACGTTTTCTTCTAGAAATTTCATAGTTTTAGCTTTAACACTTAGGTCCATGATTCATTTTGAACTAATCAGTGTGTATGGTGTAAGGTAAGGGTCAGGGCCTATTGTTTTCCATATGGATATCCACTCGTTCCAGCGCCATTTGTTGAAAAGATAATCCTTTCTCTGTTGTTATCTTTATTGCAAATTAATAGGTTCAATATGTGTGTGGGTCTATTTCTGGACTCTCTATTCTGTTCCATTAATCTATATGCCTGTCTTTATACCAATACCACACAATTTTGATTACTGTAGTTTTATAGTAAGGTCTTAAACCAAGTATTCTAAGTTTGCTAACTCTGTACAGCCAGCCCTCCATGTCTGTAGGTTCTGCATCTGTGAACTCAACCAACCATGGGTTGAAAATATTTTTTTTGGGGGGGGGGGAATTCCACAAAGTTCCAAAAAGCAAAACTCAAATTTGCTGCACACAGAATACAACCTTGAATCCAGGTGAATGAAGTGATGTGTAGGCATTGAATTAGGTATTATAAGTAATCTAGAGATGATTTAAAGTATATGGGAAGACGAGTGTACGTTATCTGCAAATACTACACCATTTTATATAAGGGACTTCAGTATCCATAGATTTTGGTATCCACAGAAGGGGACGGCAGGTGGGGGTAGGGGGTCCTGGAACCAATCCCTCCCTCACAGATGCTGAGGGATGACTATACTTCTTTTTCAAAATTGTTTTGGTTATTGAGGTCCTTTGTATTTCCACATACATTTCACTATTAACCTGTCAATATCTAAATGAAAGCCTGCTGGGAGTTTGATTGGGATTGCATTGAATCTATTAATCAATTTATGGAAGATTGACATTCTAACAATATTGAGTCTGCCGATTCATAAATAGGCCATATCTCTCTATTTAGGGCTTTTAAAATTTCTCTCAGCATTGTTCTGTAGTTTTCAGTGTGCAGGTTTTGCAATTTTTTTTTTTTTAAATTCCTATTTGGATGGTATTGTTTTTATCTTAGAAAAACACTTTTAGATATTGATTTGGGTCTTGAGAAAAACAGTTGGAGAGAAGAGAGGGTAAAAGAAATTTTACTGCTTTGAGGTGGTGGATTGAAAGCTAAACATGCTGATAAGAATTATTGTCTTGGGAAGG